AGGGGAAGGCGAGAAGGACAGGTCCGTTGGGCACAGGAAGCAAGGAGGAGAGCTCAGCACCAGCTCCATCTCTTCACTTCTCATTCCTTAAAGGTGGTCCATCAACATTGGTTGGAAGAATACTTGAAAGTCTTTCATTTTAACAATGTGTGTGTATAATGTGAAGAGGGAAAAAACATCCAATGTTGGAACAAACTGAGAGACAAAATAAAGTGGTAAAGTATAAAATAACTATCCATGAATCCACACTGATAGAAGTAAATAATTGAGAAAATTTATAGGTAAGGGAGAATAGACAAATCTGTACAGAAGAATTCTGGATAATTTATATGGATCCTCCGCCCTCAAGGGGGGAGCATAACCCCCACCCCTTAAGTGTGAGCTGTCTGTGGTGCCTTCTCCCAAAAAGAATAGTGTGGAAAGAAGGAAAGAGTAACTTCAGAGTGGACAAACCTGGCAAACACCACCTCAGCTCTGTGATCGATGTTAAGAGTGTCCACAATAATCGTGTGGATTGTATGTGCCTCTGACATGATTTGATGAGAATGGCACTTTACTTCTACAGTCTTCCTCCCCAAACCCCTATCCTCATGAGAGAAAATCTCTAACAACTCTCAAATGAAAGACAGGTATTTTTTAAGAATTTAGTTTGATTAGGCACAAAGAACAGCAAATATGACCATGTAAGGGACTAGCAGATCTAAGGAAAGCACACCAACCATGTATGTAGCCCAGTGTGCATTGAAATCACCTGGCTGGTGTTCCCAGTTGGTTATAACCTAGTTCCTCCCTAGGTGTGTCCAGTCTTCAGAGCACCCTGTTCAGGTAACAGGATTGTCTCACCTCCCTAAAATGAGCGGACACTCAGGTCTGCTCAAGACATCACATGACCCTGGACCTCTCTGCCCTGGTCCTGCTGTGGAACTGGGCCCCAGAGAGGACCAGGGAGAAGGGTGACAACAGAGGGGAGGAGGTAGGAAGGTGGAGTCTCTGAGGAGAATGAGCAGGGGGCCTAGAGCCCAAGCTGTCACTGGGCACCAAGAGGCTGCCCAGGGCAGGGGGGACAAAATGGAGGAGGGGTCTATAGCTACTTCCTGTCTGTGACCACATGTTCTCACCGCAGAACTAAAGTGAGGGCTCAGCTACCCTGCATTAATTGGATTTCTAGGCTCTGTTAAAGGTCTCAGCCTGCATTAAGACCCCACAGTCTGTGCCCACCCCTTTCTCTGGCCCCCAGTGTGTCTGGTCTCCCCAAGGCCCCAGTCCTGACTGCCATGCTGGTCATGCCTCAAACCGTGCTGAATTCCTCCTGGAGCTCCTCCCCAACTAGCCTCACAGGTGTCGAGCCATAAAGGGGTCCTCTTGCAAGAAGCTGGCGCAGAGGCCTGAATGCAATGGCTGCTCACGATGGTCCCTAATCCTGTGCTGTGTTACATATTGTCCTAACGCTACCAATACTGTGAGCCCCCTGAAGGCCAAGCAGCTTTTTCTCTCTGTGAGTCCTGCTTTGCTCAAGCCTGCAGCAGCATTCGGGCATTCGCCTTGATCTGATAAGGAAGGAACCACAGAGCTCATCTCCAGCCTTTTATTGTGGAGGCTGAGCTGCAAAGCAGGCGAGTGACTTATCCAAGTTCTCATGGAGATTGCACAGCTGAGCCAGGCATTTGAACCCTGTCCCCCAACACACCCTAGCACTTTGCCCACTGCTGAGCAGCCCTCATCCACCCTGGCTCCCAGCAACGTGTCTCCATCATCCCTCCAAATGGGCTGAGCTTGCACCCACAGACCCAAGGACAAGGCAGCATTGGAGGAGACTTGGGGGAAAAGGGTGAAAGGATTTAGGCACCAAAATCATATGAGCCCTTTCTTTGAGAATGAAAAATAAAAAATCAGAAGTGTGATTCTCTTTTTTTTTTAAAGAGAAGAATCTGCTTTAATTGAATGGAAACTCTAAGTCAAACTACCCAGCTGTAAAAGTACCATGTGCTATAAAATGTTTCAATTTATATTAATAAGAAGCTAAATTTATAACAAGGAACTGAAAGCTTTGTTGGCCAACCGGTTCTGTTGAAAGAGAATGCTTGAAAGTGGAGCTGTGGGACAGAATTTCCTGCTTGGGGGAGAGGTCCCCTATCTTCCTGCCCAGCACAGTAGCCGCTAGCCACGTACCGTCGTTGAACATCTGACACATGGCAGGTGCCACTGAAGAACTGAATTTTTATATTTCACTTAATTTTAATTAACTTAAATGTAAATAGCCATGTGTGGTTAGTGACTAGAGTATTGGCACAGCTTTAGGTGACTGAGGTCAATTTTAACAATATCTTGCCCCCCTCAGAAGGGACAGATCTCTTTGTTTGTGAATGTTGAAACTATAAAGCTAATAGAAGATGATGTATGAGAAGATCTCTATGCATTCTCTAAAAGACAATATTCAAAATATTACTGTGCTTCAGATTGGGATGCACATCTTAAATAAGATCCCCAAACCTAAGTCATAAAGGGAAAAATGGATGGATTTCATTACATTGTCAAATGCTGTCATCCCAAATATCAGCAACACAACCTGTGGGGATGAGAAAGCTGAGTTTATTGCTCATGGCGATCAGGGGGGACACCACCTTGGCAGAGCTGTGGCAGCGTCCTAGAGGAAGTCAAGGTCCGAAATTATTGAGAAGTTTGGCTTAAGGCAGGTCTTAGCATAGCAGGGGCTGCATCAGGAGTGGGGAAGGGTTGCAGTACAGCAGTCTAGGATTGGTAGAAACAGCAAGGCGAGGATTTTGAGGCAGGGATTCAAAGATTCTTAGGGTGCAAACTATCTCATGATGCTTTCCATTGAAGAGTCGATGGATCTTTCAGGAAGTTTCTATAATGAACAATGAAACCATTTGCCTGGTTTATTTGCCAGATAGTTCCAAGAAAAGCATTGGAAAAGTAAAGTAATACTTACGAACAGTGTAAGAGCAAAGTCATGTTCACATAGGCAGTAAGATGTGGCCAAAACGGAAGGTAGTTATAAATGGCTTCAGTGCACAGCACAAACATTTATTCTTCAAACAAAGGCTATCGTGGACAAAAGCAACATCGGCGAAGAGCTCCACGTGGACACTGGCCTGCCTACCTGCAGCCACAGGAGCCATGCAGGCAAAGGTTTGAACTGCAGCTACTCTGAGTCAGACAGATCCACTTGGGCTCTTCCCAGAGTGAGAGACAGTGGCAGTGAACACCTGCTACTCACCACCTGATCCCCTCCTGGAAGGCAGTTTCTCATCACCCGCCGTGTTCTGATGAGGTACGAGGCTTTCTGCTGCCCCCCTCAGAACAAACCGTAAGACCACCAAGTGGCCGTTGCCAACGGGCTCCTCAGCTATGGGGTATCACGGCTGGTTGCAGTTCTCTGACCCGTTTTGTTCTGGAGTATGGGATGAGGACCCCAGGAAGTTGGAACATTCAGCTGATCTTCCTTTCACTACCTGTGTAAGTAATAGACGGTCTAAATCTGAAAATGGCTCCTTGTGTCTTCTGCACCGAATCACTGAGGCCTGGCCTCATGTGTGCTTGCCGAGTAACAGATGAGAGACTGAGGGGAGATATTTGCAGTGTCTAAAACTGACCATAGATGAATACCTTAATGAACCAAGGAGTTACTAAGAATCAGCATGCAGAAGAAAGGAAGTCCAACAGCAAAATGAACAGAAGCAAGAGATCCAGCACAGAAAAAATCCAAATGCCTAACCAGCCCATGGATAGATGTTTGATCTCGTTAGTTCTCAGAGGAACACTTGTGTGAAACACTGAGATGCCATTTTGCACTCGGCAGACTGGCAGGGACTAGGAAGTTGGATAAGATTCAGTATCGGTGAACATGTGAGAAAGTTTTGGAACTTCCATGTGGAATAAGTGTGTGACTGTCCTGCTCTCAATGTCCAACTCCTGAATGTATACTCTATCGTGGTTACTGTTTTTTTTTTTTTTTTTGTCCTGTTTAGGAAACATTTGCCTACTCCAAAGTCATATTTTCTGTTTTCTTCTAGAAGCTTGATTGTTTATACCTTTCATATTTAGGTCTATGATCCATGTTAGTTCATTTTTTGTATGGTGTGAGAGAAGGGTAAAAGCCTTTTTCCCCCCTAAGCAACTATCCAATAGACCATCACCATCAGTTGGGAAGACCAACCTTCCCCACTAAATCACAGAGGCACCTGTGTGATAATTAGGTGAATACACGTATGGGTGTGTCTCTGAACCTTTGTTCTATTTGCCTTATGCCCCCTGGGTGCTCTAGAAAATACCTTACATGGGTCCTCCAGGAAGATGATGGGGATGTTTACTTCAAACTGCTTTTTGTTTTTCTGGATTTTGCTTGTTTATTTTTTATACTCTGCTGCTGAAGCAGGTGAGGTGTCCATCACAAGGGGAATGGAAAAGTAAAACTCAACACTTACGTGGAATCATACATAGCAGTAAAAAAAAAAAAATCAAAGACTTAGATTTACATATAGCAACAAGAATAGTCTCAGAAGCAAAGTAGAAGGATTGTGTGAAATTTATAAACAGAGTTATAGTTTTCAAAAAAAAGGTTAAATCACAACTTTCATACGGTTAAAAAAAATTAAAGGTTCTTTTCAACTCATACTCAGTGAATGAACCAGGCAGACATTAGAACCAGTTAGAAAAGGAAGTCAAGAAGCATACGTTTATATGGAGGAAAGGAATGTTGAAACAAATTGCATAGGAAAGCAAACCAGTCTGGGGTTTATTTCCCCCCCCCCAGCAGGGGATGGAAGAAAAGACAGAAACTGCATGTCTATCATTTACCTACAACTTACAAAACTATGAAATAGCTCCCCCAGAATCAGAATCAGAGAGCAGAAGAAAGAGTGTGCTAGAGACAATGCAGTTTTCCACTGAAGTGCACATTTTTTATACAACAGAATATAATGTGTTGAAACAAAGCACATAAAATCAATACTACATATTTCCAAGGATCTACACAGATAAAAATAAACATATGGACACTAGATTGAAAGGGCATACATTAAATATATGAAGAGGATGCCTGTGGGGAGGGAGCACAATGGGTGGGTGAAGATGAGAAAAATAAAAATCACATTAAACCAAGTAAGTGGTAAGGTATTTCCATAGGTGACTGTACCAAGGGGTAAGGAGTATGGCAACTCAGTTTTGAGCACTTAAAAGATCTTAAATTAAAAAAAAAAAAGCAAACACAAAGCATGTTTGCATTCTGTTTGCATTTGGCCTTCTCCTCCATCTTTTAGGAGGATGTTACTTCCTAACATAAATGAGAGGATGTACATCCAGCCTGGAACAGGAACTGCTTTATCCAGTTTTCACTTACGTGACTGCCATGGAACCTGAATTTTCCAAATGTCACTGAATAATTAATGATCATGTGGCCATCCCAGGAGTAGATTGAAATAGAGTGATGGGAAATAGGAGTCATTTTCTTAAACATGCAGAGATTTTTTGAGAAAAGTACCATAGATTTTGGAATAGGAAAAAAATAGGAACTCTCTGTGTTTGTATCTTACTATGTGATATGCAAAACACATAATAATGTCCAATATATTTTTTTGGTAAATAGGAAGTTTTATTATAAAATAACTTCATAATAAACAAAAGGGTATATTTGTCATAACACAACAAAGAATGTATGTTTGTATTTGTTTTTCATTGACCATAAAAAGCAAAGACCTTTCAAATTTGAACTATTTTCATCTCAGTTTTGGCTGAGATTGTTTGGGCAGATGCTGTGGACCAATCCTTTCTCCTTCTCATGGGCCTTTCTGTACAGTAAAAGGTCTGCACAATCTTTTCTCAGACTTTCTGACAGCTAGGGTTCCAGATATAATTTAGGCCCCACCAATCAAATGCATTTGTGCGAGACTTAAGTTTGGAGGAAAGGCATCCATTTTGCTGGTGTGGATTGTGGCTGAGGTGGGCTGAGGCTGGAACCAGAAGCTAGGCTGGCAGCTTCCCGATTTGGGAAGTGTTCTGATTCTTCAGGGTCCTGACTGTCACAAGAGCAGTGACCCCTTAGCAGCCCCACCCTGTAGTGTGGCGTTGAGAGTGATTCCCAGTGGCTCACAGTAGGATCTGATTCTGTAAATCATTTACTATTCTAGTTTTTAAAAATCCCTTCCTATATAAAATAGGCAGATTGGATTTAGCTGTCTGCAACTAACACAAGTCTCAAGAAAATAGATGCCATATTCCAGAGTGAAGCATGAGCAACCCATGCAAAAAGGTATTCAAACTTCACTCACACTAGGGTTATGCATTTGCAGAGATTTTGAAGATTAGGAGAGGATTTTTAGACACAGCTTGGATATATTATGACCCTGGGGGTAGAGGGGGAGTGGATGTCTGCTCCTTTCCTCAAGCCCAGGGAAAGGGGCTTCAAGATCACAACTTGGAGAGCTTAAATGTCTTCTGCACTTGAAAGACACAGCAGACTGGTGTCTAACTCCAGCCTAAGAACTGTAACTGACAGAGACTGCCTTTGGCTAGATGTCCCAATGATGGAGTGAAAAACTGGTTGTGTGGGGATCCACCAGGGCTCCATGAGTTTGTTGGGGGTGAATGAAGTGGGTATTTCCCATGCACCAGATGTGAGCTGCACATGTGTGAGCCCACCAGTATGGGTTGTCAAGGATCCTGTCCAAAAAGGCTGCCTGGAGGTGGACAGACCCCATGGAAGGAAGCTAGAGGTTGACTGATATAGGTGAGGAAAATAATTTTCCCTCTATCCTTCTGGTAGAGACTGAGGCTCCTCTAATAAAAGACAGATTAACAAGTGAAAAACAAACAAAAGTTTATGAACATGTATACCTCATGTATACAGGGGAGAGAACCAGGGGGAAAACTGAGTAACTCCCCAAGGTGGCTTAGAACTCCAGCTTAAGTTCTGTCTTCAGCTAAAGACAAAAGACAGGTGTAGGGAGGCCACTATGGGGAGATTAGTTCCAAGAAAAGCATTGTAAACAAGAGGTAAGGTTCATTATGCAGATTTCAATCCATGCCTTCTTCATGGATAAATTTCTTCTATGATTTAGAGTCATCCTTCTCATCCTGGTACAGAGAGGGAGACACCACTACAACTGGGAATTTCCTTCATAAATGTAAATTTCTCTCATAAAAGGTTAACTTAAGCTGACTACCCTCAGAGCAGCAGTGATAGGTGAGACCTTCCCTGCTCCTTTCCTCTTCCCTTCCACAGCTCCAGTCCTAGGGTGTCAGAAGCTACAGCAAGGGGTAGAGATGGTGGCTGAGGAAAGAAAGAAAAACCAGCCTGTACCCTTCTGTCCCTCTAACAGAGGGACAAAATCTAGAGGATCTGGAGAAGATTTCATTTTAAATGGAACCCCTTTTACCCTTACTGAACTGAAGCTAGTTTAGGAATAAACTTTATACTGCTTAGAAATGCCCAGAAGGGTGTGGATGAATAGGCAGAGCACAGAGGGGTTTTAGGGAGTGAAACTACTCTGTGTGATACTACGGTGGTGGGTACACATCAGTACACATTTGTCCAAACCCCTAGCATGGACAACACCAAACACGAGCCCTAAGGTGAACTATGGGCTTTGAGTGACACTAATGTGTCAATGTAGATTCATCGATTCTAGCAAATGTACCACTCAGGGACAGGATGTCTATAGTGGAGGAGGCTGTGCATGTGGTGGGACAGGGGAACTCTCTACTGTATCCTCAGTTTTTTTGTGAAACTGAAACCGCTCTCAAAAGTAAAGTCTATTTTTCAAAAAATGACCAGAAGAGTGATGGGTCTTCCTGTACGTTTTACCAGGGGGCCAGCAAGATCCTCAGCAGAGCGAGTCTAGACAGCAGTAAGAGAACAAATATAAAGTTCATCTGAATTACACTTTGTGAGTCCCAATTGTGAGTCCCAATACAGAAATCGACTGCCATTCCCTTAGCCCTGATGACTCCCCATGGGTTTCTTTGCAGCCAGCCCTCTACATCACCCCCCCATTACTACTCTTCTCCCTCTGGGTAAGAGAGGGGTCAGACAGAGATCTCACAAAGATGTTCAGGAAACCTCTTATTTACCACTAAACAGAGTGGAACGTGGTATTTGTTAGTGGAGGAAGGCATGCCCGTCTGCTCCTGGAAGCTTAAGTCTGCTTCCCTGGGTTTGCTCTGCCCTGGGGACACCTCAGGAGGCTCCCTTACCTGAGGAGTGACAGAAATGAATTATATTTGAAAATGATGCATCTGGAGTGCCTGGGTGGCTCAGTTGGTTAAGCTTGGGCTTAGTTTGCTTTAGGCTCAGGTCATGATCCCAGAGTCCTGGGATCGAGCCCCACATTGGGCTCCCTGCTTAACGGGGAGTCTGCTTCTCCCTCTCCCTCTGCCCCTGCCCCTCTTGTGCTCTCTCCCTCTCTCTCTTTCTCTCTCGCTCTCTCAAATAAATAAAATCTTGGGGAAAAAAGGAAGGAAGGAAGGAAGGAAGGAAGGAAGGAAGGAAGGAAGGAAGGAAGGAAGGAAGGAAGGAAGAAAATGATACATCCACGCCAGCCCCGGTCTGCATCTTCCTCCCTCCTCTGAAGATAAGACTGGATTGCCAGTAACAAAAATTTTCACCCTGCCCCTCCCACCCATCCCAAGGAACCAGCCCAACCCCATTCACATCATTCCCAATGGTGGGCCTTGCCTCCTCTCCAGACTTCTTAGCACAGAAGTGAGGAAATTCAGGGGACAGGCTCTGGGGAACTCCTGGGAGATTGTCCCTCTAAATCCACATCTGCAGCTACCACCTGTGTCCCCTCATTTAGTTCCACTCAAGCCTGTCCCTGGCCCCCACTCACCTGAGCCCAGGCTTTCTGGAGAGAGATAAACAAGACAGAGAACACCAGGCCCTTGTTCAGGATGAATCCACATATCAGAACAATCACCACCAGCAGCAGGCCTGTGGAAAGGGCAAACACTGGAATCCTAAGCTCCCCCCGCCCACCCCAGAGTCCAAAAGTGTGAGTATCTGCTGAATGTTCTGCTCTGAAGCTCAGCCTCTCCTGGCTATGAGAGCAGCCAAGCAGGGGTTTATACCCTTTGAAGACAGGGCCTCTATTTTTCCCAGGATCCTTAACCCCAGCACTCACCCTAAAGGAATCTATCTGGCTTCCTGCCCCTAACACCTCCCTTCTCCAGACCTCCTGCACAGCTGCGGGATCACTCTGCACTGAGACCCTCACTCTTCCTCTCAGGGTGCCTAGGGAAAGCCCATCATGTTCCTCATTGCCTACAGGACAAAGTGCGCATGACTGCGTGGCCTTCAAGAGTTTCCACAATCTGAATGCATGGTCCTGCGTTAACTTTACCCTCTCCTCAACACTCAGTCCAACTGTCCACCTCTGTAGCTGACACACTCTGTGCATGCATTCCCACCACTTGCTCCTGGCATAGAATGCCACCCCCTTTGTGCCTTCAACATTTCTTCCCCTCCAGGTAGTGTTCTCTGACACCCACCCATGGCTTGCACTCCCCAATAACTCTGGGTAGGGATGGACTTCTGTTGATCCCATTCCTTAACTCTGAGAAGAGGCTGCTAATACTCAGACTCCGTTGGTGCCAGGGCCCCATTTTCTAAGTGGTGCCTCATTGTCAGGGGTATAATATGCCTGCATGTTCTCAGCTCCCCAACTCCCAGCTCCTTTCGTCTGTGGCTGGTGGATGGGACCTTTGCTGCCTTGAAGAAATAACATTCAATGCTTGCTTTGGGGCTTCAGGATAGAAACAGAAGTGAAGGTCATTCTGCCTGTTAGGGTTCATGACTCTCTTGGCCTGCCTGGAGCAGAAGAAAGTCCTCCATGTGGTCAGCCTGCCTCCCTGGAGTCCACATGTGGGGGCCTGAGCTGAGGGCCTCAGCTAAGCCCTTACACTGCTTTGCTTTGGCTTCCATTGAGCAACCCTCATTCAGACACAACTTACATTGGATCCAGATTGCCTTGGTTGGTTCTCTTGGCCAGTGCCATTTTCTGGAAGAGATAAAAAGCCCTTCTGAGCCTTGCCTGACATGGGCTCCTACTGGGCACCCAGATAATGCTTGCTGAAGATGGCTCAGCATCCCCGTAGCTTGCCAGCCTATCTGCACAACCCAGCTGACTTAATCTGAGCCCGAGAGGGACCTCCTTCTCCTCCATGCTGAGCAGCCCTCTCCCAAAATCATTGCCATGGGACTATACTCTGTTTATGAGAGAAACATTCACAGGGTTCTGGAAGGTCAAAGGTAGAAGGAGCATTCAATACCATCCAGTCCAACCCCCCAAGGAACAGGGTGACAGGGAGTGCCCATGGTCACTCAGCAGACAGAACCAGCACTAGGACCCACGTTTCCTGACTCCATTCCTATATATCTCTGTGACATCCAGCTGGCCTCAGCCTCAGCCTCTTCCAGAGTCTCATCCAGTGAGCGTAGTCTAATCTTTCAGCTCTTAGCACCCATGTCCTCCCAGCCCATCACAGTCAAGTGACCCACTCACCTGCCTTAACGGTCCTTCTACTCTTGCCTCCAAACTAACATGGAGCTTGCCCATGAGGCAGGGAACCTCCCTCCTGCCCCCCCTTTGACCACTCCCCTCCCCGGTCCACCTTCTCTCCTAAGTTCCCATTTCAGGCCTCCCTTCCTACCGTGGGGTTGGGTGGACAACATCCATCACCTCCTTATATCCCCACAGTATATTTTCTTTCTGTGGTCAGCAACTACCATACCCTCCTCTATTTGGAAAACTGAAGAAAAAGTCAAGAAGAATAAAGAAGGACTCCCCCCAGTGCACTGAGGGAGCGTCCATTTATCTCTGGGCAGGCCAAGCCCATCCCAAAAAGAAACCTTCTCTGTTTGTTTGTTTAAACCTAACTAAAAGTCAGTCCCTGACTACCCTTTCCTCTCGGTACAAACTCAGTCATTACTGCTGGTACCCTTTCCAGAGGATTATATTTTGTCTCCCCTGTGAGACTAATAATTCCTTCAAGCAGGAGCAATCTGTACTAGACTTGGTTTCCTTAGCCTCATTAGCTTAGAGTTTTCTCCAATACTGGAGAAAAGGAATATGAAGCTGCTACCAGCTTTCTCAAACTCACAAAGTGTGAGTGTGGAAGACCCAGGTGCACTGATTTCGGGTCTGGAGCTTTTCCCATTACTCTGCGCCATCTCTCCAAAGCAGCCCTCCCAGCAGATGGGGCCCCAGCCTGTGGCTGAGGTCAGCCTCCACAAAAACCCTTCCCTGTCCTGGGTCTTGCTACTTCTCACCTTTGCGCTCTATCAACCGAATCTTTTTGGACAGGACATGGGGGTTCTGAGGTGAGAGGTCGATCATGCACTGGTACAGCCCCAAGTCCTGCCACCGGAGCTCTGTCCCTGTGACCTTGCATACAACCTCCCTGGGACTATCCTTTAGCAGGTATCTCCCGGCCTGGGCCCAGTTTAGGTCTTTGCTCCTAGTGTTCATGCGCACCAGTGTCTCTGGGGAGGCCTGGCTCTTCTCCCATTGCCAGGCCTTCGGGCTGGAGGAGGAGAGCATGATGTTGTAAGAACCAACTGTGGTCCAGTTCTTTCCTCCCAGCAAGCACTTTTGTTTCTCCCCTTCGCCTACAGCTTGGAATCCTAGAATGAAAAGTCAAAGTGCTTCACTGAGCAAATGTTTCTTCCATCTTCATTACATCTGCAGACCCCAGTGCAGATACAGGGTCGTAGATCAAAAGTATTAAGAGCTCCATTTATGAGTAATTTAGGATTTCTATAAATTATTTTGAAATGGTTCAGCAGTTTTATAAATACATATGGAGCAAATAAGGCAAAACATCAATTATGGTTGAATGTTTGAATTTGAATCTAGGTAATAAGTTTGTGGTGGCTATTCTTTCCATATTTTATAGATGGAAAAATTTTAATAATAAAATGGTAAAAAAAAAAAAAGTAAAAAAGAACTTAACCAGTTTTACAACCCATATTCTATTCTACTTATGCTTCCCCAGACATGTCCCTTGCTTTCTAGTACACAAGACTTCATACTAGCTCCTGTCATCCCCAGGTTGAATGCTCTCCCCACTCCTTGCCACCCACATCTGCCCCTTCTGGTCCCAGAAGAGAGTCTACCTGAACAATTCCACCTGCACTAATCTCTTTCCCCTTTCAACCCTCAGTACCATTGATCACCCTGCACCTGCTTGCACCACCACCACCACCATCATCATCATCCTCCATAACTTTTATTAAGCCACTTATTATGCCCTAAATACTGAGCCTAAGAATTTTACATCAGTCTACTACTTAACTCTTAGGACAACCTTCTAAAGTAGGTACCATGTACAAATAAATACTGAATAGATACTATTTACAAATGAGGCCACTGAGGCTCATAGTGGTTGGAGGACTTCCTAAGGTTACAAATGTAGAGAGTGGCAGAGATAGGATTTGAAACCTGTTCTGTCTGATTCCAGAACCCTTCACCTCTTTTCCACATGGCCTCTCTGTGCCTTGCTAGAAGGACTTCCACTGTATTTTTGTCTTCATGCTGTGACTTTGCCCTTTTGTTATTTACCTTTCCCTTCTACTAATCCTCCTCTACCTCAGTGCCTGATTCCTTTAAAGAGAGACTTTGTCTTACACTTTACATCTCCCAGGAAATCAACATAGAGATGAGAGGTTGTTTGGATGACTTCACATTTCTCAACTTCACAGTGCACTAGAGGAAGCTCCAGATTCTGTTTCATCATCCAGTTCCTGCTGGGACAGTTGCATCCATTACTCCATTACCTTCATGTCTCTTCCCTGTGTCTAGCACACACCCTGATCCCATCCAGTACCTTCTAAAGAAATGAGAGAAACCCCTCTTTTCAGGCACCCCTTCGGCCATCTGCATCCGTCCCCCACATCTCCTTACCTGAGGTCCAGAGCAGCAGCAGCCATGGCCACCCTCAGAGCCCTGTCCCCTCCATCTTATCCCAGTCCCAGGATCCACAGGATGCTGGGCATCCCAAGGCTCTTCCAGTTGCTGGAGGATGTTGCCCCCACAGGGATATTTTCCATGTTCCCTGAGAGGCTTGACTATTACTTCGCAATTGAGAAGGGAAGTATGAAGAGGGAGCAGCTCAGGAAAATACAGAAGAGAAAAGAGTGATCACTGCCCTTGTGACATCTTCCTTCCTGCTTCCATTACGTTACAGTCCCATTGGTCAACACTGGAGAGCTCCCCATTCTCCACCATAGCAAGTTTGGACACACCCATCTGATGTCCCACTTCTGTTCCACTCACTTCCTCAGGTCGCCAGGACTTTCTCATCCCTGACCACTACATCCTGCACCTTTCCACCATTTTCCCTGTTTGGAATGACACCATGCATCGAAATTTGTCTTGTCCTTCAAGACAGAGCTCAAACCTTGCTGGTGACCTGCCTTCTTTACTCTTGCTCCACACTGTGGTTCTCAAGTATGGGCATGTGACTAAATCACACAGGAAGTTGGCAAGCATGCACAAGCCTGAGCTGCACCACCAGAGATTCTGATTTGGTAGGTCTCGGGAAGCTCAGCAATCTGCATTTTAACGAGCAGCGCAGGGGATTCTGAGGCAAGTGGTCCAAAGAAGGGATGCCTGTAAAAGTTCTGTTTGAGGTCAGGTAAGTGCTGAGGCATTCCTCAGGTACTCATTCTGGATGTAAGGTGTGCACTTCCCTGAGCTCCCAGCCTAGGCAGAGGCATGGAGATCACAAACATGATGGTATTAGGAGTAACTACAACAGATAGGATATATTTGTCATCTTTTGGCTCTCCAGCACCCAATACCTTCTCCACCTAGGGGACATGCCCCAGTGCATGGGTCTCACTAAGATGCAGAGTTCTACTTCCTCTACTACTGAGTATGGAGGTAGATATTTCTCCTGCATCTAAGTGCTAGGCATGTGACTTGAATTAAGCTTGGCCAAATGTAAGATTCTGTCTAGGATTCTGGATCCTAAAGGTGTGATACAAGGTGTAGGGCTATTGGAGAAGATGACTGACACAGAAGAAATGTAAGCATTGAGAGTCCAGGAATAGCATGGTGCCAAGGATGTGGTGGCTTCAAGTGTCCAAGGGCAGTGGCACCAATGACAAAATCACTAGATTGTGTGATATTATGAATATAGGAAATATGTGTTCGGTCATGCAGATAATTAAAATATATTTCTCACTGGTAACTTCTATAGTAGATGGGTCAGAAGCACAAGTGCTCTCCAATGGCATCTAAAGATGGGAAGGGGGAGTCTTATGGAACTGAGCCCTCAATCTGTGGAATCTGATGTTATCTTTGGGTAGGTAGTATCAGAATTGAGTGGAATTACAGGACACCCAGCTGGTGTCCAAGAATTGCTTGTTGGTGTGGGAAAACCACCCCTTCCCAAAACATACACACACGGGAATTGGGTGCAGAATTCTAACAGGTGATCAGACCCTTTGGCTGTTTCTGCTATGACCTCAGCTGTGTCCTCTGCTGTGCGTTGCCTCTTGGTTTCACCAGTTAGATGTCTTTTATTTATTTATTTATTTATTTATTTTAGAAGGAGAGAGCGGGGGAAGGGGCAGAAAGAGAGAATCTCAAGCAGACTCCACCCTAAGTGTGGAGCCCCACATGGGGCTCAATCTCACAACCCTGAGATCATGACCCCAGCTGAAACCCAGAGTTGGCTGCTTAACTGACTGAGCTACCCAGGCACCCCTCACCAGTTAGACTTCTGCAGGCTGTCCCTATGTGCACGTACGGTTATCACTCTGTCTTCCTTCTGTCTGCCCTATAACTGCCCTGTAACTCCTTTGCTCACCCGTGGTGTTCAGGCCCACCTTGTCTTGCAAACTCCAAAGATTTAAGTTGGTATTTTCTACCCCTTCTGCTCTAAAGGAAAGGGGTCCTATTTGTGGGCCACCATCCCTGCTTCTTGTGTGATACAAGGAGAAGAGGCATTTAGACATTGACAGAACTCCTCCTTATTCCATTCTATATGGCTTTGAAGCACCTAGTCTTCAGCAAAGGAACTCTAGTTTTAGTTCCTGCTAGTAAGTAGTAACTTATTACCCATGTGGTCTCATTCTAGGCACATATTTCCTTTTTTTTTTCACTTAACATTTTATTTTATTTTATTTTAATTCCAGTGTAGATAACATACAGTGTTATATTAGTTCCAGGTGTACAATATAGTGATTCAACAGTTCCATATACTACTCTGTGCTCATCACAAGAGGCACTTAATCCCCATCACCTATTTCCCTCAACCGCCCACCCACCTCCCCTCTGGTAACCATCAGTTTGTTCTCTATAGTTAAGAGTCTGTCCCTTGGTTTGACTCTCTTTTTTGTTTTCCTAGCTCATTTGTTTCTTAAATTCCACATATGAGTGAAATCATATGGTATTTGTCTTTCTCTGGCTAGCTTAATCCACTTAGCATTATACTTTTTAGCTCCATCCATGTTGTTGCAAATGGCAAGATTTCATTCTTTTTTATGGCTGAGCAATATATATATATGTCACATCTTCTTTATCCATTCATCTATCAGTGGACATTTGGGCTGCTTCCATAGTTTAGCTATTGTAAATAATGCTATAATAAACATAGGAGTGCATGTATCCCTTCAAATTAGTGTTTTTGTATTCTTTGGGTAAATACCCAGTAGTGTGATTCCTGGATCTTAGGGTAGTTCTATTTTTAATTTTTTTGAGGAACCTCCATACTGTTTTCCACAGTGGCTACACCAGTTTTCATTCCCACCAAGAGTGCACAGAGCTCCTTTTTCTCCACATCCTCACCAACACCTGCTGCTTCTTCAGTTTTTTATTTTAGTCATACTGACAGGTGTGAGGTGATATCTCATTGTGGTTTGATTTGTATTTCCCTGATGGCGAGTGATGTTGAGTATATTTTCATGTCTCTGTTGGCCATCTGCATGTCTTCTTTGGAGAAATATCTGTTCACGTCCTCTGCCCATTTTTTAATTGGATTATTTGTGGGTTTTTTCATCTTGAATTGAGTAAGTTATTTATATATTTTGGATACTAATCCTTTATCAGATATGTCATTTGCAAATATGGCATTCAGTAGATTGCCTTTTAGTTTTTTTTTTTTTTTGGTTATTTCCTTAGCTGTGCAGATTTTTATTTTGATGCAGCCCCAATAGTGTATTTTTGCTTTTATTTCTCTTGCATCAGGAGACATATCTAGAAAGATGTTGGTATGGACAATGTCAGGGAGATTACTGCCTGTGCTCTCTTCTAAGATTTTTATGGTTTCAGGCCTCACATTTAGGTCCTTAATCAATTTTGAATTTATTTTTGTGTATGGTATAAGAAAGTGGTCCAGTTTCATTCTTTTGTATGTTACTGTCCAGTTTTCCCAACACCATTTGTTGAAGGGACTGTCTTTTTCCCATTGCATATTCTTGCCTCCTTTTTCAAAGATTAATTGACCATATAATTGTAGGTTTATTTCTGGGCTTTCTGTTTTTTTTCCATTGATCTATGTGTCTATTTTGGTGCCAATACCATACAGTTTTGATTACTACAGCTTTGTAATATAACTTGAAGTCCAAAGTTGTGATGTGTCCAGTTTTGTTTTTCTCTTTCAAGATTGCTTCGGCTATTCAGGATCTTTTTGTGGTTCCATACAAATTTTAGGATTGTTTGTTCTGGTTCTATGAAAAATGCTGTTGGTATTTTGGTAGGGATTACATGAAATCTGAAGATTGCTTTGGGTAATATAGGAATTTTAACAATATTTGTTCTCCCAGTCCATGAGCATGGAATATCTTTCCATTTCTTTGTGTCATCTGCAATTTCTTTCATCAATGTTTTATAGTTTCTAGAGTATAGGTTTTTCACCCCTTAGGTTAAGTTTATTCCTAGGGACCTTATTATTTTTGGTGCAATTGTAAATGGGATTGTTTTCTTACTTTCTCTTTCTACTGCTTCTTTATTAGTGTATAAGAATGCAGTGGATTTCTGTACATTGATTTTGTATTCTGGGACTTTACTGAATTCATTTATCAGTTCTAACAGGTTTTTGGTAGCGTCTTTAGGGTTTTCTATACAGAGTGTCATGTCATCTACACATAGTGAAAGTCTGACTTTTTCCTTATCAACTTGGATGCCTTTTATTTCTTTTTGTTGTCTGATTTCTGCAGCTTGGACTTCCAGTACAAAGCTGAATAAATGTGGGGAGAGTGGACATCCTTGTCTTGTTCCTGACCTTAGGGGAAAAGCTCTCAGTTTTTCCCCATTGAGGATAATGTTAGCTCCGGGGTTTTTATATAAGGCCTTTATTCTGTTGAGGTATGTTTCTATCTGCATACTTCTTGGCCTACATGGGTATGATCTGAGGATGCAGGGGTAAGATGTACCCTTGGTAATACACATGATTGACAAATGAGATTCTCTATCCGTCCTGTGCCTTGGATCTCATCTCATCCAGGATTTTCCCAGGATATAACCTTTCGGTTAACTTGGTTTCTCTTTACCAAATATGGTATTCTCACCATGGTGTCTTGTCTTCTCCTCAAACCCCTTCTCTGGGAATGTAGGAGAGGGCCACAGATGAAGAGAGAAACCCAACCATCTGATTCTAGAGTAGAGAAAAGCCCAGGAGCAGGGAAAACAGGATGTTTCTGTAGTAAGAGCTTTGTCCAGATCAGGCTAAACCATTACGGCCCAGGGCAAGAACAAGGGCAGAATTAGCAGGGGTGTCCTCTGTACCTCACAACCTCCATAAGACAGCAACAGTGAAGAGCATTGGACTCTGTCTTTATTTAAGGCAAATCCCAAACCACGGGTGGAATGGGCATGTTTGCAGCTGTATCTTCTCTTCTGAGGGGGCAAAACACACACCCATGGTCACTGGTGTAAATTAGGGGAGCTGGCAAGGCTGAGAAGGTGGGACATGAGCCTTAGAAAGAATCTGTGTTACAGATTCAACTCTTGTCATTGCCCCTCCTTCCTTTCCCCCTCACACTCCTCCCCCAGAACAACTGCCGGAGGGATGTGGCTGGAGGTCAGAGGTCATGCTTATGGCTTCACTGGCCTAGGGTCCAAATGACCTCTGCGTGACAGCAAGCAGGACAGTGAAGACCAGACTCTTGCTCAGGAGTCCACACAGCAAGAGAATGACGATGTTGATCACGGGAACCCTGGGGGAAAGAAGAGATGTAAGCTGCTGTTAACACTGGTGCGCCTCACACCTGAGTGTTTACAGAAGTCCTTCATGCCCCTTCTCTTATCTGCTTAGGCCCTTCTAGCACCTGTCCCTAACCCTGTGCCTTTAGTGTGTCCCACTGCCTAAAACTACTGCTGGAAATATATCTAGTAAAAAGCATAGAGCCCATGTGCAGAAGAGGCACCCAGGAGAAAGGGCAGGCTGCCTGGGCTCCTCTTCCTCAACGGGATGCAGCAGAGAGAGAAGTCCCAACAAGGAAGCCCAGTTTCTAGTCCCAGCAGGAAGGCCTACTTCCTGGGAGGTCCACCTCACCGCTCTGGTCTCGGTTTCCCCATCTAGAAACAGAAGAATCCAATCCTTGCCCCAATCCCATCATGATTTATCATAGATTTTAGCTCAGTGATTCTAAACGTCCTGAGAAAACATCAGTGGATACCATAAGAAAGAGATACCCATGAGTGAGGAAGCATGGTCTGTCTAGACTCAGTGATATGGAAACAGATTACAGCACAACTAATCTGCATGATAAGACAAAGGGTGACAAGAGAAATAGATGGCAGGAAACAAAGAGAAGTCCAGATATTGACTTAATGTTATGTATGAATTTAGCATCTAAGAAATCCGGCAGCCCAGGAGGTAGGCAAGGATTGTTTAGTAAATAATCTTGTGGTATCTGGATCGTAATATGAAGAAAAAGTCATCTTTTGTACAATTTATACCATTTAGCAAAATATACCTCCCCCAAGATGGACTAAAGATTGAAATAAAATGGGGGGGAGGGGAACTAGAGACATCACCAGGAAATAGAATCAAGCACATTAAGGAATAAAGCAAAGTAATAATTTAAAAATCAACACATTTGTCCATACTAAAACTTAAAAGCAAATGTGCAAGCTCGCAGAAGGAGAATTGACAGAATGACAATAAAAAGCCACCGAGGCCGCCCCTTTACACTGAAGTACCCCCAGGCCCGCGGCCCCGTCCCGTCCTCCCTGTCTTCCTTCTCCCCCATCACCTGGAGCTACGTGAACCAGCAGATGGTCAAGTTGACCCCTGACAACTCCTGGCCGCTCATGGTTACAGTAGCGCCTCCCCACCCCCCCGCCACCGCGGCTCGGGTTCAGCCCATGGCTCCAAGGTCCCAGCTCCGCTGGGCTAACTTGACCTTCAAGTTTGCCTTGTCCTCCCAGCCCTTTCACATTTTCATGCACGGAGCTCCTGAAGTGTGTCCACTCTCCAGAGCCAACACGCACCCCTTTCTGAGGCTGCACAGAGGAGGTCAGACCACTGCCCCTACCCCAGTGCCTGGGAATTCGTGTGCCACTGGGCCACCCCTAACAAAGGACTGGAAATTCGGAGTATAACTATTCCAGCTCCCCCAGCCTCTGATATAGACAAGTCCGTGGGTCTCCCAGAAACCCCTTGCAGGACTGAACCCCAAAGCTCCCCCCTCTGGGACTCAGCTTGGTGATGACATCCTTACTAAGCTTCCTTCTCTCCTGGTCTCACTTCCCGGATGGATTTACCTGGGATCACTTCCTACATTTGTACAAGACTTTTCCCACTGCCTGCTTCCAGGGACCCACCCTAAGACAGTGAGGTGATGGCTCCCTTCCTTCCTTCCTGGTGGTGGCCCCCAACCCCATCCATTCCCAGATTGGAAGTTCACTTCTTCCATTACCTAAGCAAATAGCTCCCTGTACAAAACATATTTTTCAAACAGCTCAGTGGCTTCTGCTTCCTTGGCTGGATTCTGACTGACAGAATAGTTATTAGTTAATAAATAAAGTTAATAGAAAATGTGCAACCTCTAGTAACAATGTGGACCAAAGTGGGTACTCTCGACTTACATGCTGGAAAATCAAAGTAACTTAAAAAAAATGTTGATTCTCACTAGATCATTTATTTAGTCCACAAAGATTTAGTAAGCACCTACTATGTACCAGGCACTGGTGCCAACAAAACAGCAGTTGTGGGGTGGGGGGCAGTGAGTGGATAGTCACTGCCTCTATCTTCCTGGAGCTTCTAGCCCACAGCAAGAGAGAAATGAAAGCACGTGATAGTTCATGTCCAATTTAGCAGGAATATTTTCCAAATACTAAATCCTTGTACGCAAAGAATCCTTGCAGTGACAACTGCTTCATTTATACATTACAGATCACAACACAAATTGTTTCTAACCTTTGAAGACCATTTGGCAATATGTATACAGAGCAATATAAATGTTCACATTCTCTTAAGGGAATTTCTTTTGAATAAATAATTTAAAAGAAAAAAGACATCTGCAAAAATGTTCATCTCAAAGTTATCAATACTGTAAAAAATTAAAACAATCTCAGTGTCTAAAGACAGGCAAGTAAGATGTAAGTCATGGCTTTTTCATTGATAGAAAAAGATGCATTTGTTGAAATTATAATCATGAAGTCTAGGTAGCAACATCAAAGAATAGTCTTAGCATAGAAAAATAATGGCAATGTTTATAATTAGAATTACTGCTATATTAAATATGTATGAACATGAATAAAAACTAGAAAGAGAATGTGGCGATCAAACATGTTAGATTAGTGGGAATATGGATGAATATCTCTCTGTTAATTCAATATTTAATGATAAACACATTCAGAGATAAATCAACATTTAATAATAAACCATAAAGAGGGGTATGCATGCAAAGTTAATGGGTCTTAGCTTTGTCTGCACATTAAGAAATCTCCTGAAGATCTCATAAAAAATGCTGAGACCAACCCGATCTCCAGAAATCCTGATCTATTGGTCTACAGGAAGGCACATGCATTGGTATGAAACACAAACCAAAGCAAAAGCAAACACTCCAGGTAATCCTAACACACGGCAGCCGCTGAGAGGGGAGCCGTTGGGCTATTATTATTTCCAGCTCTGCATTTGCTAGCCTCCCTATAGACAAGGAAACAAGCCACAGAGCATTCATGATTCACCCAAAGTCACACAGCTAGCCAATCTGGCTGGCATTAGAATCCAAGGACCCTCACTCCACTATACCATTAGGCTGGTAAGGTTGGCTGACACCCACTGGAATTAAGCAAAGATACCCTTTCCTTCTTCTTACTCCTATAGGATGCAAGGAAACAGGGTGAACCAGGGAGAGTGGGAGCCTCACCAAGTTTCCTCCCACTCTAGCACCACTCCCTTCTTCCCCAGGAAAGTTTCACCAGACTTAGTTGACTCAAGTCTGCTCCTGCCCTCCCTTTTCCCTCATTCATCACTCCCCACATCTCAAGCCTATGGACTCAGAATCAAACCAGGAGGCCCAGAGACCTGAAACCATAGCTCGTGACATCCGTCGCATTTGTGATGTTGATTCCCAAGCCAGGAGAGGAGATGTCAGCAGTTGATTTGGGTAGGAGTTGGGTCACAGTCCTGGGGCTGTTGAGGAGTGTGCTCTGGGCCTTGGTGGTGGTAGGAGGAAGGGTGGAAATCTTAGCCAAGTTCTGAGTAGGATTCTTGTCTGAGACAGTGGTGCCTAAAGGATCTGCAAGAAAGCACATTGGATAAATGGATGGTTAAGTTAATGAATGAAGTTTTGGGAAGTGAGTGGGTGGATAGACAGATGGAAGGATGAATAGAAGGAAGGCAGGGAGGCAGGAAAGAAGGGTGTTTGGACGGAAGGAAGGAAAGTTGGGTGGATGGAGAGGTGGCAGGGTAAATGAAACTGAGGAAGGAAATGAACATGGCCATTCGTGAAGCAAGTTTCTCTTTTGCTAAGTTAAAGAATTAGTGTGAGGTCAGCCTGGGTCAGAGGCAGGAAAAAGGAAAGAAGGAAGGAAAGCAGAAAAGGGAAGAGAGGGAAGGAGGGAGGAAGGTGGGTAAGGGGAGAGGGGGGAAATGGAATTTTCAAGTGATTCCTATCACTGGAAATGCACTCGCCTGCTATTCTTCACCAATCCATATGCCTCACCTTCTTCAAGAATAATTCCCTGATTACTCTACCTTGTACCATTTTCTGTCTTGCCCTCACATAAACCTATAGCATATTGCTTTTCAAATTGTCTTTTATTAATATATTGCATATGAGCCTTGTCTTCCTTAGGCTTAGGATTCCCCAGGTGCTAGAAACTTGAACATTCCTCCCTTTCTTCTCGTTCCTTAATTTCTCCAGTTGACATCTACTGAGGTCCTACTTTGTCCCAGGCACTACATTAGTTTCTAGGGATACAGACATGTGAAAGGCACAAACACTTTCCTTAAGGTACTCACAGACGAGCATTGGAGGCAGATAAGTAAGCTGGCCACTACTACCCAGTGGGATAGCATCATCTATGAGGGGGACACAAAGTGAGCTCTGGAGGTTTGCTACCCAAAATGAGAGCCCATGGACCAGTCTCAGCAGCCGCATCACCTGCAGGCAGATCAGAAATGCTGAATCTAGGTCCCACCCTAGACCTATTGTATCAGAGGCTGCTTTTGAAATAAAATCCCCAGGTGGTTTGTATCCCCAGTAAAGTCTGAGAAGCACTGCTTTGGAAGCACACAGGAAGGCCATCAAATGTACTGGGGGGGGGGAGGAAATAGTTGATCACAAAGGCTTCCCAAAGAAATGACTTCCATTTGGAAACCTAAAGTATGAGACTAAATTATCTAAGTCTACCATTCATCTTTCACTGTACCCTACTTCCTACAATAGTACCCCAAATTAAGTTCTGCTACCCTAAGAGGAATCCCATACATAGAAGCCCCTTCTTACTTTTGGACCAAATGCCTCTCAAGGACCTCAAATGAAAGACAAGAAGCTTCTGGGAGAGGTCAGGTTGCTAGAAATCCTAAGCCACAGCCCTGGGGGCGCTACCACCACCACCCATACTACCACCTGGGCTGGTTTTCCCCATCCTCTTACCCCCCTCCAGGTCACTCACCCTTGATCACCTCCAGGCGGACAAGGGGAGACAGGATGTCAGGGTCCTTGGGAGGGTGGTAGATCACACACCGATACAGTCCTGAATCCTCCACTTGAAGACTGGTCATTTGGACGTTCAGCATGGCCTCACTGGGGATGTCTTCTAGGAAGTACCTGCCCATCCGGACTTGACTGGGATTCCCTGAAACACTCTCTGTGAAAACCAGTGTCAGGGGCTCCCCTCTATCCATCAGCCTCTGCCAAGCTTTCTGGCTATTGGCATACTTCCGGATGGAGAAGGGACATTGTACATTCAGGGTCTCTCCTGCTGCTAAGACATACTTTTCTTCATGTGGTTCGGTTGCAGCTCGGAGTTCTGTAAGCAGGGAATCAGAGTTAGACTCTGTGAAGAATAGTTTTCTTCTCTTTGGAAAAAAAGAGAGAAACAACCTCTTTTTCTTGTTCAACCTCTCATTTTTCAGATGAGGTCCTCAAGGCCTCCAGAGAACATGCATCCTTCCCTGCAAGCCAGCACTAGATCCCAGATCTTTTTACTGTGAGTAATTTCTCTTCTACTCCAAGAGCTAGACCATCTTTTGCACATGCTTTGTGCAAACTTTCATAAATGATTGTTTTTGAGAGGAAAAAAATCTGCCTCCGATTGGAGGCAGAACATGGGACATGTACCAAGACCATGAGTGACAGGGGTATTATGGAAAGGAAGATTATAGAGAAGGACATACAGGGTGATGAGTGGATGTGAAGACATGATAGTAGCAGACAGTGATTCCTCCAAACAGCTAGGGGAAAGAGGAGATCAATTCTGGTCTGGTCCAAAGGAGCTTTGCCAAGGGGAGGGCCAACTTGAGTGGAAATAAGATCTAGATCTGTGTTTTTGGCTGGACACAACAGAGCTCTATAACTTATCCACAGGGTCTATAGTTTATCCACTCAAGCCTGGGTTACTTTCTTCCATGGAACACCAAATAATGGGCTGGACAGTAATGTCGGGTCAAACTGTGGATCAGGCTACCGCTACCTACAACTACTACTGCTATTATTAATACTACTGCGCACACACACACACATACACACACACACACACACGCACGCACACACGCAATTTAATCCCTGGGCAGTAGTTCTGAGAATGCCCATTGAAAAATGCCAATAGCCGCCCATTTAATGGAGTCCCTGGGCTATCATCACAGCCCACCTGTGGACTCCTGAGGATTTCGAATATGAAACCAGGCCAGTTCTTCTGGGACCAGACTGCAGTTTCTAAGGAAACCTAGAAAACAAGCTTCTTGGAAAGTCCTCTGAATTCTGGTCAGGAATTCCCCTCCAAGAAAGAGGGGAGCCAAGACTGGGGGCTGTCTTAAACCAAGTTTGCCTCACTCATTCATCAATTGGTGGCTGAGAGCCTACTGTGTGCCAGGCACTGTGCTGAGCTCTGAGGAAGATAAACACCTCCTCTCTCTACCCTCTGTAACATTAATGTAAATATTATAGATAAATTATTTGCCAAGTCCCTGGGCAAAGTAGATGCTATGGTTGGAATGTGTGTGTCCCCCCGCAAAATTCATGTGTTGAAATCCAAATCCCCAAGGTGATGGTGTTAAGAGATGAAGCCTTTGGGAGATGATTAAGTCATGATTGAGCCCACGAAAGGGATTGGTGCCCTTATCAAAGGGTTCCAGAGAGCTCCCTCACTGCCTCCACCCTGGGAGGACAGAGTGAGAAGTCCGTAGTCCACAACCTGGAAGAGGGCCTTCACCAAAACCCAACCAAAATGGCAGCATGGTCTTGAATATCTACCTTCCAGAACTGTGAGAAATAAGTACCTATTGCTTATAAGCCCCCCAGTCTATGGTATTTTATGATAGCAGCCCAAGTGGATGAAGAGAGTGGGAGTTACAGGAGTCTGAGTTCTGCACAAACTTGCCTATCTCTTGTGAAAGGAAACAGCAAGAACTTAGCGCTGAAGTGCTATGTGTGCACCATTCCTTGCACGACTGCAAGAAAGGAATTCCAAATACTTTGTATTGCTAAGTGTTTAAAAGTACTAGCTCATTTAATCTTCCTAACTTTATCATTTAAGCTCTATAACTTCTAAGGTTGATGCTGCCATTATTCTTATTTCAGAGATATGGAAATTGAGGCACAGAAAGGTTATTTAATAAACCAGAGGTTATTAAGTGATTTGCCCAAAGTTACGCAATAGAAAGTGGTAGAGTCAGGATTCAAGCCTGGATAGTCTGACCCCAAACTCAGCTCTAAACCCTGGAGCTATGTTGCCCAAGGCAGTTATCTGGTTGAGATGAGAGCAGTCCCAGCCCACACCTGAAGAGATATCTAATGATTCTGTCCCTTAGGATAGAGGAGCTAGAGGGAGTTTTTAGGTTACCCCAAACCACCCCCATAGGACACAATAAAATATATACCACTGGCTTTCTCGCACATAAGTACACAAGCATCAACCCTCCATATTCTCCCAGTTCTGCTTTGGAAAAACATGAATACAACACAAGCGAATGAGAACCAAGCTCCTATCTGCCCATCTGGGTTATCATCCCAGCTCCAAGTAGACTCAAAGTGCTATGTGTGTGCAGGCTCTGCAAGGCGAGTGTCTGTAACCTTGCTCAACCTTGTATTCCTGGAAAGTACCTTTTCTCTGTAATCTTCATGTCTTTCTAAGGCAAACCCTTCTTTTCACTTGTTATTTTCCCAATTTATTCATAAGGATTAAGAGAAGGAACCGCCAAAGCCCCAAATGCTTCCATCTGTAATCCAAGTGTGAGCTGTACAACAAGAGAAGCGAGGGTGTGGCAATGGGGCAGACCCACCAAGTCAGGGCAACAATACCCTCCAACACCAGCAGACACATAGGCCTGCAGTCACAGCCCCCAGGAAAGTGGGCACCAAGCCCCTTCTCTTTTCTGTTCTGCTATTCCTCAGCAATAGCAGACTTCCTGGCCCATAGTAGGCCCCTGGGAAATACTTGTTGAATGACTTATGTCTTTGGGGGTTAATAGAAGTCACATTAAAAGCACCATGATGGAATATAAGAAAACAAAACTTCAAACTCAAGCAAAATTATTTCGGATCATGTCAAGTTTAGATTTACTCTAGCATTTTCCCACCTAGACTTGTTCCTATCTTTGCCAACACCAAAATGCAGAAGATATCCTGTTTCCCTAATTCACCCCTTTTACTTCTGTTCTCAGGTCCTATATATTCTCCTGATTCTGTGAAGTTTGGGTAGAGAAACACAGTCTGACAAGTCTACTGGTTGGCTCTATGCTGGGCGGCCACATCCCCTGGAGCTTCCAAAGAGAAGGGAAGCTTTTCTCATGGTGGAATCCTCAAGGTTCTGGGCAGAGGCCTCACCTGCTCATGCCTCTTCCTCACCTTACCTGAGATGAAGAGCATCCAGACAAGCTCCTGGAGCCTGACCTTCCTCATCCTTTGTGTGCGCCAGCCCCAACTGCCACTGGTGTGCCTAGGACACTCTGACCTAGAGGCTCCAGGAAGTTGCATAACAGGATATGAAGTCATTCCTGGGAGGTGCTGAGGCTGATGCTCTGTTTTCGTCACTGGTTGTCTTGGCTCCAGACGTCAGGGACAACACAGGAATCCAGAGACAGAGTTTGAGTGTCAGCCTCCTCTGAATTCCAGTTTCCTGTTCTCTGGGGATAATGACAATTACCTTTTCAGCCAAACTTGCAAAATTTTAGTGAGAATAATACTTTGGTGTGAGCAAAAGTAAGGTGTCACTATTGTCAGGGGACTAGAGGGCCACCTTGCTCTCCTGAGGCCAGCTCTCCATTCCCATCCAGTTCAGTGTAGGTAAGAATGCCAGGTACATGGAGGGACAGGTTGGGATAATAATGCCTCACTTTTAGGGTTATTGTGGGGATGAATTGGGGGTCTCTATGATAAATGCTTAGTACTGTACCCAACATACATGTTTGTTACATCCTGTTCCTACCCCCACCTCACCCTGATTCCCTTGGCTTTTTCTGACTTGAGGCCTGCCCCCTCTTCACCCGGATGGCCCACACCTTGCACTTGCCCTCAGCCTCCTGTCATAGACCTGGCTTCGGAGCTCACGGAAGTGTAGGAAGCCCCCTAAATGATTTGAGAGGACATGGCTGCCATTAAACAAGAATAAACTTAGAAACAGGATGATATAGGACAGGACAGTGATGAAAGAAGGAAAAATTTAGCAGTTTCCATACCAGAAGGAATACAGGCAGATTTGACGATGTGAAAAATCAATAACAGAACAAATTTACTTCAGAAATACTCCCAAATGTAAAATGAATATCGACATTTTGAAGAGCTCAGAAATATATTAAAGGGAAAGTCCTAGAAATCCAATAAGTAATATACAAATAAGAGATATTTTTGAAGTATAACATGGAACAGTGGTTCATAAATGAGAATAAAAATGTATATTTAAGAAAATATTTTCAGTACAGTATGACAACTGAAGAAAATATTGCATATTTAGAAGTTGCTAAGAGATCTGAAAAGTTCTCATCACACACAAAAAAATCTGTAACTATGTAGGTGACAGATGTTTTTTTTTAAAGATTTTATTTATTTATTTGAGAGAGAGAGAATGAGAGATAGCACGAGAGGGAAGAGGGTCAGAGGGAGAAGCAGACTCCCCACTGAGCAGGGAGCCCAATGTGGGACTCGATCCCAGGACTCCAGGATCATGACCTGAGCCGAAGGCAGTCGCTTAACCAACTGAGCCACCCAGGCGCCCCTCGGTGACAGATGTTAACCAGATTTACTGTGGTGATAATTTTGCAAAAATACAAATACTGAATTATTATCTTGTACACCTGAAACTAATATAATGTTGTAATTCAATTATACCCCAATTTTAAAAAGAAAAACACTTTCTAGATCTGAAAAGAAATCTGTAATTGGAAGTTGAAAGCCCAACAGGGGCAAGAAAAAAAATCATGAAGTGAGACCAAGGAAGTTCCCAGGTGAAAAAAATTTTTTTATTTAAATTCAGTTAGCCAATATATAGTGCATCATTAGTTTCAGATGTAGTGTTCAGTAATTTATCAGCAATTGAAAAAAATTTTTTTAATTATTTATTTATTTGTCAGAGAGAGAGGGAACACAAGTAGGGAGAGTGGCAGGCAGAGGGGGAAGCAGGCTCCCTGCTGAGCAGGGAGCCGGACGCGGGACTCAATCCCAGGACCCTGGGATCATGACCTGAGCCGAAGGCAGATGCTTAACTGACTGAGACACCCAGGCATCCCAGCAGGTGAAATTTTTTTTAATTTAAATAAAAATATTCCTGCAAACTGGTGCAGCCACTCTGGAAAACAGTATGGAGTTTCCTCAATAAGTTAAAAATACAACTACAACTACCCTACAATCCAGCAATTGCACTACTAGGTATTTACCCAAAGGATACAAAAATACTGATTCAAAGGGATACATGCACCCCAATGTTTATACCAGCATTATCAACAATAGCCAAATTATGGAAAGGGCCCAAATGTCCACTAACTGATCGACTGATGAATGGATAAAGAAGAGGTGATATGTATATGATGTATATAAACATATATGATGGACTATTACTCTGCCATAAAAAAAGAATGAAATCTTGCCATTTGCAGTGATGTCGATGGAACTAGAGTGTATTATGCTAAGTGAATAAGTCAGTTAAAGACAAATACCATATGATTTCACTCATGTGGAATTTAAGAAACAAAACAGATGAACACAGAGGAAAAGAGAGGAGAGAGAGGCAAACCAGAAAACAGACTCTTAACTATAGGGAACAAACTGAGGGTTGCTGGAGGGGAGGTGGTAGGGGATGGGGTAAATGGGTGATAGGTATTAAGGAGGGCACGCGATGTAATGAGCACTGGGTGTTGTACGTAAGTGATGGATCACAAAATTCTACACCTGAAACTAATATTATACTGTATGTTAAGTAACTGGAATTCAAATAAAAACTTGAAAAATTAATTAATTAATTAATTAATTAATTTTAAAAAGATTCCTACTGCTAAACAAACAGGAAGAAAACCCACCTTGATTCCTTCAAAAGAATTGAAATGAGCAGGACTCATAATTTTTCTCTAAGCAACAAATGCTAAGAGGCAGTGGGATGCTGTATAAAGAACATTATGACTAGAATTTTACACCCACACTGATTGCTATTCAAGTCTGAAAACAACAAAGAGGTACGATTATGTCTGCAAATTTAAAAAGAAATTCTAAAGTTAACTTTGACTTTTTAAGCTAAAACTGTGGAATGTAGCAATTTCTAAAATATACATAGTAGTAGAGACTTTGAAATCATATTATTATACCCTGCAGAGATTATTATAGTTAAGGTTTCACTAGAGTTCCTTTTGTGTTCTATAAATAAGAGAATCCAGGCTTCAAACTGAGCTTGGATTGAAATCTGCCAGACCCACTATTTGTTTTACTCCTTCGGCCCACAAGGAGGAAAATTAGACAGTTTTGAAATTTTCTGACTCGGAGAGAAGCCTAAGTGATTTTTTATAGGGATGAATCAGATTAGTACAGTTCATTTAATAAATCCCTTTTCTTACAACAAATTCCACACTTAAATGAATAACACAACATTTCCTAATTTTTCATGTCTTTACATACTTCGTTTTGGGAGTCAATTTCCTGGAAGATTAAAAGAGAACTTTTTTTAGCTGTATTAATTTTTGCTTCTTGTACTTTGAGGCTCTGTTGTTTGGCGTGTATACATTTCGGATAATTAAATCTTCTAGGTGGATTGATGTTTTTAACATTATATTGTGTCTGTAGATGTTTTCTTTGCTCTTAAGTCTACCTTAATCAGATATTAATATAGCCACTCCTGCTTTTTAAAAAGTTAATGTTGGGGTCACCTGGGTGGCTCAGTCAGTTGAGCATCCTACTCTTAATTTCAGCTCAGGTTATGATCTCAGGGTACAGGATCAAGCCCCAGGTCTGGCTCTGCACTCAGTGGGGAGTTTGCTTGAGAATTCTCTCCCTCCCTCACCCTTTGCCCCTCCCCCCCAAAATGAATAAATAAATCTTAAAAAAATAACTTATTGTTGGTATGGTATATTTTTTTCCATTCTTTTTCTTTCAACTTACCTAATCATTGACTTTGAAGGGAATTTCTTGTCAGCAGTATCTAGTCATATTGTGCTCTTTTATCCACTCTGTCATTTTCTGTCTTTTGATAGGCATATCTCAACAATTTAAATTTAAGGTAATTATTGATATGTTAGCACTTGGTCTACCATTTTATTACTTGCTTTGTATTTCTTTCCTGTTGGTTCTCATTCTCCTGTTTTCCTTTTGGGAACTTTTAATTAACAGCCCAAGAAGGATTTCTAACTAACCCCTACTATCACCAGAAGTGGATTCCTCCTTCATATCATCTTAAACCAAGGTGGCACCTGAGTGTGTTTAAATGAGAACACTACATCAAAAATGATGCTGGCTAACTGAACATAATAAAAGTAAATAAATAAATAAATAAATAAAGGCAGAAAATCTCTGCAAAAAAATATTTTAATTAAAAATTTTAAAAAATAAAAATAAAATGAGAATAAAGTCTTTTTCCACCTGTCCTGTCTGCTTTGTGCACTTAAGGTAAACAGAATGTAAATATCCTCTACTCCCTTATCCCTTAGTTTTCTGAGGAGTTGGATGACCTGTGCAGTATCTTAAATTCTCAAACTAGTTTTCCCATCAGGCTACTATCTCTTAAGGCTTCTCATTAAATCATCGTGGGTCTTGTGACCTAGGGTTTCTTTTCATTTCATTGAGGCTGAGTCAAAAATTCTACTTTCACACTTAATCCTTTGGTGGCCAGAGTACCAGGAAGCTTTATTTTTAAGGTACCATGAGCCTTTTTGTATTTATTGGTCAAACATTATTTTCAGTGTGATCATGAAAGCCTGTACAAATATTATTCTGTTTGGTTTTTTGTTTCCTTCAATAAAGTCACTGGCCCAAGTCAATATGTCCCAATCGTCATGATGGGGTAAGGTAGCAGTTTCTTTCTTAATATGGATTGGTTAAGCACATATCTGTTCTAACCTAGCTGGAATATATCTGTGACATTTTTTAACAGGGAGGTTATGCATATCTTCTTTTCTGTCTCAAAAGAGGGTCCCACAGGTCTAGGATCTGAGATCTGGTGCTCGTGTTTCTGAGAAGGCTCAATGAGGCTTTTACTGGGAGTGAGAAAAGCTTTAAACTGGCACCAACTACAGCTTCTGGAACCACTGTCCTTGCCCTGATGAAATGCATTGCTGTGTGACATTCAAAGGAACAGGATGTAACCATCCTGACCCCCTCCTCCAGTCCCCCAGTCTGCCTCTAGCCCCCTTATCGACAGAAGACAATAGGGAACCAGT